AGCATTAGCATTAGCATCTGTAACCCACAGGTCTGTGTCCTAACCATTAAGTTGTTATCGGAGCATTAGCATTAGCATCTGTAACCCACAGGTCTGTGTCATAACCATTAAGTTGTTATCAGAGCATTAGCATTAGCATTAGCATCTGTAACCCACAGGTCTGTGTCCTAACCATTAAGTTGTTATCAGAGTAAATCCCTGTTCAACATGAGTCTGACAACTAAGTAAGTAGATAAATAACTTTAGACTTTAACACATGCTCTGATAGGCCGGGATCGGATCTGATGGGAAGTGAAAAAAGCTGGATTGGGATATCTATAGGCCAGAGTAGGCTTGTCCCGATCCGATATTTGGCTCGACCGCCGCTATTTGCAAAAAACTGCAAGAAAATGCAGATCCAGACTTCCGATCCAGTTCTTTTTAAAAGTTGACTAGTTCCAGGAGCGACTCCTGTGTTAAATAGTGGTATGTTGGTTCAAATCTCCCATCAGAATACTCTGTAATTCCTAGAATTGGTTCCAAAAACCTACGATAACTCCTTAATAAATACTGCAGATAATTACACATAGCAATAAAACAAATGACTTCTAGAAGAGAGATGGAAAAAGAAATAAATGATAAAGAAATAACCAATAAAAAGGGTTTTTATTGTCCATTTAGCTCAGAGACTGAAGAACGGAGGTAGAGGTGGAGACTGAGATACAGGACCAGCCCTAACTCACTCTGACTTTAGACAGGAACTCTACACCCACTTAGACCAGTTATCTTTATTTAATTTTTATATTTTATATATATTTTTCTATGACTTCAACGTCATAAGAGTCAAATATTTGATCAAATTTCACTTCGTATGTTGGAAAATTCGTACATTTAGGCCTCGTAATAGAGGTTCTGCTGTCCTGCAAATCATTTGACATTTAGATATACGATGAGTATATTTTGAAACGCAGGTTTCTGACAGACGACGGGAATCTGAGCCAGCTGGAGGCGACTTTGTTAGCAAAGTGCTCGTTATTTGTCACCAGATGAATATCAGACAGAGCAAAGTAGGCAGATGGAAAAATGAGTCACCCTGCTTCTCTCAGCCTCCAGCTGAGGGTTTTCGCTCTGTCTCTGGATTTTATTCAGCGCTAAATGTTTTTATTCTGTTCACTGGTGTCAAAGTCAAACACAAACCCTCACGTACTCTGTAACTCAACAAAACTCCTCCACCATCAGCCTCTTTTATTAGAACAGTGTTTTTCAACCTTTTTTGAGCCAAGGTACAGTTTTTCATTGAAAAAATCCCGAGGCACACCACCAACCAAAAATGTTAAACAAATCTCTATCCGCCTATAGTAACACTATAGTTATTCTTATTTTATTCTTATCTTATATTAAGTGTCTTGAATAGGAATCAAATAAACACAAAAATGTATTTTTATCATATTTTATATTTCTTCTTTCAAATTGCTCTTAACATTTCCACTTCAATATACAAAATCACATACAAAATCTAGTCATAAGGAATTATTACATGATTACTCCACCAGTCACTAGAACAGCACACACACTCAGCAATTATTTGCAGAAAATTAATTCCTTATCAAAAATTTTTTTTAGACCAATGAGGTGAAATAGGATGATTTTCTACGGCACACTAGTGTACCGAGGACCAGGGGTTAAAAAACACTGTATTAGAATCTCAGGAATGTTCTGTATAGCAGATTTAAAGATCTCAGCTGTGGTTTGGATGGTCTTCCCTCTAGTGTTGTTAAAAGTATCGATACTCAAAAAAAGTATGGATACTAAAACGTTGTATCCGGATACTCATTTTCTCTCTAATTTATTTATTTATTTACGTTGTTTATGACCATTAACGTGACGTTAGCCTTGAATTGCTAGCTGCGGCTAATGGCTAATAATAACACGCCAACATTAATCAAGTCTGCAGGAAGCCAAGGATGGATATCCAACTCCCCCACATCCAAGTCGGCCATTTTGATTAGGTCACCAATAGGAAGATCCCAGATAAGAAAATCCTAATTGCTTCATGGCAATATAGACATTAGTTTAAAAATAGTGAAATGAATCTTGCAAACACTGAATTAAACTCTATCCATAATATTACGTTACAATAGTGGATGTTAAATAGGTTTGTACAATAAGTCCAAACAAGTTTAACCAAAAAATATTTATTTCTCACAATTATGAAGGGTGGAGGCTTAGGCTTAGGCTTAGGGTTATGGTTAGGGTTAGGGTCAGGGTTAGGTTTAGGGTTAGGATTTGGGTCAGGGTTAGTATTAGGGTTGGGGTTAGGCTTAGGGTTAGGGTCATTAATGTGGGCCACCATAACATCAGTAACAGGTCAGTTTGAAACCAAAGACACTAACCTGTCAAAACTCTGCAAAATTTTGAGGTCTTTGTTTTTATCCTTGTGGTATCCAAAATGGTATCGGATATTTTCCTGAGTATCGGTATCGAGTTGAACATTTTAGTATGGTGACAACCCTAGTTCCCTCTCAGATAAACTGTGGAGAATCGGACTGATGTGTTTGCTGGTGATTAGCTGTTAGCCATCATCTCCTCTCCTCCTCTTGTGTTGTAACTTGGCTGCTTATGTAACGGCTTCTCCCGATGACTCAACACACTTCAGAAAACTCTGATGAGGGAGAACATTTCGCTGCGTTCTGACAGAAATCATCCAACTCCAACTTCAAAACTCCGGGCTCCCTTTAATCGGCTTATTTATACGCTTGTTTATGTCAACACATCCAGCTCATTCTGGTCCCATTCCACCTCCAGCACAGCTCCGGCTGACTGGAACCTCCCTTTATTGTAGATTTTTATTATTTGTATGTAGTTTTCTGTGTTTGAGACGTTTTCTGTTAGTTTCTGCTGATGGAGGACTGTTCTTTTTCTTTTAAAGGACTCCATAAACGCTCTGGTTTTGGACCTGGACTACCCCACGCTGCGCAAGAACAAAAACATTGATACCTTCTTAACCAGATGTAAGTGTTAATAAGTGTTAATAATAATTAATAAGTGTTTTATGAGGTAATCACACAGCAGAATCTGGTGTTTTCTGTCTCTCACATGTTGTTCCATCTTTGTTTTTCAGACGAAAAAGTCGTGGGACAAATCCGAGACCTCCAAATGAAGTCTGAGGACTTCGATAAAGTGAAAATCATCGGGCGTGGAGCTTTTGGTGAAGTCCAGCTGGTCAGTTCTGATGACCTGAATTATAAACTATTTATAAAAATAAGTTAATCAGTCTTAAAGAACTGGTGCTCAAAGGTTTCTGGCCTTATATATTTTCATATTTAACTAATTATTATTGTGTTAATCAGTCTTAAAGGTACTCAAAGGTTTCTGGCCTTATATATTTTCAGATTTAAAAAATTATTAATGTGTTAATCGGTCTTAAAGAACTGGTGATCAACAGTTTCTGGCCTTATATATTTTCAGATTTAACTAATTATTAACGTATTAATCAGTCCAAAAGAACTGGTACTCAAAGGTTTCTGGCCTTATATATATTCAGATTTAACTAATTATTAATGTGTTAATCAGTCTTAATGAACTGGTACTCAAAGGGTTCTGGCCTTATATATTTTCACATTTAACTAATTATTAGTGTGTTAATCAGTCTTAAAGGTACTCAAAGGGTTCTGGCCTTATATATTTTCACATTTAACTAATTATTAATCAGTCTTAAAGAACTGGTGCTCAAAGGTTTCTGGCCTTATATATTTTCAGATTTAA